AATTGGTTACTGAGTAAAATGTTCTTGACTGTAACACACTGATAGAAAAGTAACTTGAGTAAAGAGAACTAATCTTAAACCAAAACAATTATTTTGTAGAAAGCGAAAAATTACGTAGGTAGTAAACAGACAGATTCGGATATCTTAACTTCATTTATGGCGTCAATTCATTATTTTGCATCAATTTGCCACCTAATTTTGTCTAGCCTGCAACAATTTCTTACGCACTTTTCATCTAATACTGTGTAAAAAACTAGTGAGTTTTTGAACTCAATAATTTAGACATAAATTCTAGCGGGAAAAAAATGTTATTATCAATTTTTTCGAGCAACTTGTAAGCTTTTCTCAGATTAATAAATTTATTTATTGTATTTATTACGTCTCATCTCTGGAAGAAAGATTGAAGACACTGGAAAATAGTAAAAAAGTTTCAATAAAAAAAATAATACGAGAAGTATCTAAGCGCAAAAACAAGAAAACCAAATTCGGAAACTCGTCCCCGCCTTTTAAGGTTCATTCTTTTTATTTCTGTTTTTATCTGTACTGATATTATTTAAGCATGTATAAACATATAAGCGTGGTTTATGCCGCGTGAATGGCTGCCTTACACTTGACAACCACAGACTTAATGTCAAAGTTAAATGACCGTAAAAAATTACAATATAAACAAAAAATTTCGAAATTTAGATATTAAAGCTTGAATATTTATCATTCAAAATACAAACTCAAAAAAAACTTTAATATTCCTATTTCGAATCGAAAATTTTCAAAACGAATAAACTGAAAATTTGTTGGATCCAAACAATTCTTAAATCAGTTCTTCATTGTTGAAAAAATACAACTAGTGACATCTAGGTGTCGTTCTATCAATTAAAAATAGAATTATTTCATGAGTCATCTCTCAGAGCATTAATGAACAATATAAAAATCTCTATTGATAGAAGGATTTAGTTCCATTTAATAAGATTTATAGTAATAGTTACTAAATCATTTATTAAAGCCCATTTATTTTCATCAAATGAATAGTTAGTAGTACTTAAAAAATGATTTATTGGTACTCAATAAATTGTTGATTGGTGTTAAAGAATTTTAAGTAAAAATATAAGATATTATAAAGAAAAAAATCTCATTAAATTATCATTTTACATTTAAGACATTTATAAAATTTAAAATTAAACAAGTTTTTAACCTATCAATAATAGACAAATTAAACTCCACTGAGAAATGACATTCAAAGATATATGATAAAGCTCCCAAAATCGAGTTGAATAAAATAATCTGAGTCAGTGAATAGGTTATGTATCACATTGGAATTAAAGCATAGCCATCTACCGACAATACTTACCAAAGAAATATTTAGTACCTACTACTAAATATTATTTAGTGGAAACAAATATTTTTTTCTCCCAAATAAATGACTAAAAATTTTGTTACTAAATCAGTTTAGTACTCCGTACTAAATCGGCTGCCCAATTTTAAAACACAGTAACTGCAAGATTTTTCTTTTTAGTATTGCTGCATTTTTTATAATTTTTAGACCTTAATTTCAAGTATTTTTTCTTAAAAATATTTATGTTCAAGTATTTTCTATTCATAAATCAAATTTTTCATCAATTTGGCGGGTAAATTTTTTTTAACAAGGAAAAAAAGAAAAAATTTTAAAATGTTAGTTACTGTGTTTTAAAATTGGGCAGCCGAAATCCTTCTATCAATGTATCTTCACTTATTGTAACAAGGTTTGTTTAGGCAGAAGTATTCTTCTGTGAAATGTCAATTGTTTGGCAAACAATGTACGAAACAAAATTTTTGAAAATGAATTTGTTCATGAAAAAACGTATGTTAGAACTTGAAATTGTTTCTTTAACATTAAATAAATTATATCAAATCAGAAATTGAAAGAATAAATATCATTGTTGCAATAGGTTACTTAATGCAACATAATGATTTTATAATTAAAAGGTGTCATTGAACTGTATTGTGAATACCGTGTACTATTACATAGTTGCGTGTAAAATAAGTAAATTAAAGTAAAAGATCGCATTAAATATACAAATGTAAGATTTATCTATAAATTTATATCTTAGCAAGCACCAAAGGGAGTTTAAACCAACGAACCGACCAAGGTTTTCCACCCTAACAAATCCAGAAAAGGGATACGATTAAATATACTCAGTACTTTATTTAACTTGGATCTTATATGTTACAATCGCAACTATTTTGCCCTCATAAATTTTACACTCATAAATCTGAATACAATTAACTGTTTTCACATGTTGATTTTTCCGCTTCAAATGTCCAAGTTAATTCACTATTTTATTTACTATCTTCAAACTCCAGAATTTTATTTATCATTTATTATCTTTTCAATGAAAATAACCTGCTATTGCTATTATTAATAAAGTGCTATTAATTAATTGGATAATTATTACTTATATATGGGAGATATTAATTTACTACGTAGTAGTAAATTTTTATTTAGTCTGTGTATTAACGCGTCGAATATAATGAAAGAGAAAAAGAGAGGAATAATAAAAATAAATATATATATAACTAAAAAAAGGTGTAAGTTTCTCTCGCTCGTGCTCACGCGGACAAACGGCGATAATGTCGGGTTTTTATGAGAGTTAATGAACGGTTGTGTACTTATGGTTGTCGAGCGGAAAAGTGGTGGGACGAGACGAAGGGGAAACTGACTAAAATCACCCGCATTTTATTTTTATATATTTGCACTTTTATTTACATCCTTTATGATTACTATTAATTATCACGTAATTACAGGCTTTTTTACAATTAATTTTTTTTGTTAAAGTGAATTTTAATATGATTATTACTATCACTAATTGGATTGATTCCAACGTTATTATTTACACAATTTAATCTAAAGTAATTGTAACAAATTTTACTAACATTTATTAAATACACTGTAAAATACAAAGTAAGTCATTTTTTGTAGCTTACATGTTTAATTCTATAAAAATAAAATTGACTCCAAATACAAAATTAATTTAACCTTAAATATTTTTACTTCCTTTAATTTAAAAAAATTGATTTTTGTTTTTTTTGCCAAATTTTATTTGAAATTTTGATGAAATATCTATATTTATTTGTATAATATGTATTTCTTTAATTTTAGCTTGTCTATTGTGTGATTAGTAACTCAGAATAAAGCTTATTAAAATTAAGATACATTAAATCCAATGAAATACAATTTTTCTTAATTTTAAAATATTTAACTGCTTACATTTTTGAAAATAAGAATTTTAGCGATATGTATATATACATATATAAATTTTTTAACTAACGTTATTTTTGAGCTTTACTCGACTAGTTAAGTGATATTACAACAAAATTTCGAGTAAATTCCGACATGAGGACCAATGCAAAAGATTGATTTCTATGAAATCTACCTAATAGGTGTACCCAAATTTTGAGGGAATTTTTTTTTCGATGTTTATAATAATATATCATGGTATTAGAAAGAAAAAAAATCATCCTTTCAAATAAAGCACCCTAATATTCCATTATTGACATACAGTGCTCCCTCCCTAAGATATAACAGGTTATCCTTTTTTTCTCTTGTTAGCAACGAATGGAAAAATTGAGACACTGCTAAAATATCGTATGGAGGGAAAACTAAAAATTTTGCTTTAAGAGAAAAAACTTTAAAGTATACTTTGAGCCAAGTAGAAAATTTTTGAACTAAGAAATTGTTCTTGGTGATTCAAGATGGTCATCGTCTTCAAAATTATTTTCTTGGAACAAGATTTTTTTTTTCAAATCGAGTTAATTTTTTTTATCAGTGTATTCAGCCAATTTTTTCATAAAATTAGGCCACCTTTCTGTAATTTTTCATTTTCATTATTAATAACACATTCTGACTATTTGTTATTGTGCATATAGCTCTTCATTAAAAAAATGAATATTGCGTCATTTATGACCTAATACATGCACTACTGCAGATCATTTAGTATCACAATAAATGTGTTTTAATTTTCTTAATCCAGATCTGGGAATATTGTTATGAATTGTAGCACCAAAAATGTTGAAACGACTCGAAACATACCTATCATAGAATATCCAAATTTTTTTCTATTTTATCATACAAAGTAAATGATTTTCTTGAAATAATTCAAGTTCAATGTTTTAGTTGCAAGTTACTAAATATATATCCATTTGCTTAATTGACGTAATGTTAAAATTATAATTTCAAAAGGTAGTTGTTAAAATTTAACAACTTTAAATTGATAAATGAAAGTTTGTTTTGGCCGTCACACATTTATTAACCTTGTGAGAAAAAGAAAAGGATATCCCGACTCCTACAAAATCACTAAACCAAGTATTTTATTTCTTTAATATTGTCAAGAAATAACTCTCAATAATAATTCAAATAATTCCTTCCTACAAGAACATTATTAATATAAAATTAAATTTAGTAAATAAAAATTTAATTTATTTTTTATTTTTACAGTGATTGATATTATGTTTTACATTTTTTTGAGATCCAATATTTGTGTTAACTATTGTATACCATAATTCCACCTCATTGGTATCCAATCACATGTTATATAAATTAAATAATTTTGTTAGATTTAATATTTAATATTCCTCATAAAAAATAACATTATTTTAATTGTTAATATTAGAAAAAAAAAATTTATAAAAAACCTAAATAACTCGATCTATAGATTTGCAAGTGAAAACGTTGAACTATTCCTCGCCACCTAGCTACTGTTACGGAACTATTTCTAGGCGCGTCTAAGTATCGATTCAAACAGATAAATAAATTACTTCAATCAAGCAACAAGAAAAGTTAATCGTTTATTATTAATAAAAATGAATTAATTATTCTCAAAAAAATTTTTTAACTAATCAAAAAGTCGAAGAAAAAAATTGACAAACGTGCAAAAAAACTTATGTGCAATTTTTTAAATTAATTTTTTTTCATAATTATCATTAACACTCACATTTATAATTACAAAACTCCTCCACCCGATAACTCTTCACCGTCTTACTTCTCTATTAAAGAAGAAAAAAAAAACCGCGACCTCCACGACTTTTTTTCTATAATCAATTAATAAAAATTATAATCCTGACACCTCTTAATTACCCAAAAAAAAGCAATCATAATCACTCCTACTTACGTAAATCTATAATTAACCTCCAACAAATTTTTTACCGAGCACAAAAGAGTCCCCATCAGACCCAACTGTATACAATCCCAATCTGACAAAAATAAACAAAAATGAATAGAAAGTATAAGTAGATTTAATAGACCTACCTTGCTCTGAACGTAGTCAAGTGCCAGCATGCAGTCAGAGTATCCACTCTCTGTTTTAATAGTAGTAGCACCTTGTCCAGGTGCCGTTGAGCAAAATCCTGACCCGACGACACCAACAGGACCTCCTAGTCCTGCGGCGGCTGCTGCCGCAACGCTCTCTCTGTACCACGGATACATAATATTACACAAACAATTATATTTATATTTATATTGCACTTATCAATAAAATTGTGTTTCGGAAAAAGTGATCCTTAATTGCACTAGTTTCTCATTTGTATCAATCAATCAATTATTCAACCGATCAATTCATTTTATCACTTAACTCAATTGACATCACTCACTCACTATTTTTAATCCAACTAAATACGGAAAATTCCATGGGCATAAAAAATTTTTTATATTTTCGTCAAGTCTCACTTCTCTTCAGTCAACAGTCTCTTAATATATTAAAATTTTTAATTTAAATTTAATTATTAATCAGTCTATATGACTAGACCACAAATCACTTTAGCCTAATATTTAATTTATTAATTAATTAATTAATCAATAATTACTTAATTTATTGCACCTAGATAAATAAACACTATCGATTACCGTCACTTTGTCTTGACATGGTTAATCGATTACACATTACTACTATTGTTACGATCGTGCATAATAATAATGATAATTAACAATAAATATTTTATTAACAAATCACAATGCGAATTGATTTTCTGTTTATTGTTATTGTTACTAACAGTAAAATCAATGGCTGTAAACATTTTAGTGAATTAATGGGAAGAAAAAAAATTTTTTGTTGAAAAAAAAATTCGGAAATCGGAGCTGAGATTAGGACTGTGGATTGATATCGAGGGTAAAAAATGTGACGCACCGGCCGGAAATCGTGCAACCGAGGACCGCGAACGCGGTGTCTACACTGACGCGGGAGCCCGGATTCGAACGCCGGTTCGTGAGGGTTCGGCGAACTTCGGGCCAACTCGTATGACATACGCCGGGCAGTTGCGCTTGTGTGGGTGTGGGTGTATGGATCCAGGGAACAAAAAGGGAAAGGGTAAGAAAAAGAGACAGAAGTTGTTGGGAGGGTAAGATCGAGGATGCAGTTGGACGGTTTTTAAAGTGGGGGATAAAAATAAAAGGGTCGACGGTGTATCGCGCATCATGGGAGAGGCCATTTTTTTTACACCCTTTTGTTAATAAATAAATTACCACGGAATTTTTGGATTTTTTTAGGAAGATAAGGGAGGAATTGAGGAAGTTTTTTGGGTAGGGTGGTTTGTTTTTTTTTTTTTTATTTATTTTTCAATATATGGGGACGGAAATAAAACTAAGGGTACCTGAAAAATCTGTAATTTAAATTGTCAATATGAAAAAAATTGAAAAAAAATTTTTTTTTAATTTTTTGGATTTGCAAAATTGAAATTCTACAGAAGCAAAAATTCCTTAAATTTTTTTCAAAAGGAAGTTTTCGAATAAATATATCGATGGGAGACATTTTATTACATTGTGGACAGTGAGAATCTTAATTAATGTGCAAGTATCCCATCATTAATACATGCTTGTGTCCCATTCAATTAAAATCGCACTGCTCTGCGAAACGAATACCAACCACAGACTTCGACGGTGGCATGGTGGGCAACGCTCATCATTAATTCTAGTTTCTTTGTAATAATAAATATAAATACATACATCGTTTGTTGAGTTAAATAAATCCTAAAGCATTGTAATTAATTGGGGAGCTAAAAAACCACATCTTTTATTCTATGGCTATACAGCTGACATTTAAACTTCAAGTATTTTATTTTTACTTTAAGTTATTTATTTAAATACATTATTTACTTCGTATTAAATTATCGTTAACCTTAACCTTAACAGTTTATTCTATTTCATAAACTTTTAATGAAGTCTTATTTATTTCATACTTGTAGTTGTAATCATAATTATAAATTAATTGACAGTTTAACTTTCGATAGTCATAATTTATAAGGTAAAATAATTTAATGGTATAGTTGGAAAAAAAATGTGAAAATTTTTTCAAGTTCCGAAGATTTGTTTGAGGTATAACTTCGCAACTTTGCGATAGGTGGCGAAAAGTTGTAAGTAATTTCCATTGACAGTCTGATAGAAAAATTAATTTTGTTCAAAGGTGTTAAAATGAATTATTCAAAAAATTCTAATTGGGTTTTTCTCGCTTTTTTCCCAGTCACTATAATAATAATAATAATAATAATAATAATTTTGTATAACAATACATCACAACGAAAATTTAACTTTTCAAAATCGTGTAAGCCTACGGACAGGGTACAAAATAAATAAAAATATTGTATCGATATACGCTATAAATTGTATATATAGTATATAAAATTAATAAAAATCTTTTGAACCTTGAAAATCTTGAATTATTCAAATATGAGTTAAATTCAATTTGATTTAAGAATCAAATAAAAAAATTACTTCTTACGAAATAATTTAAGGTATCAAAATTTTTCAAGTCTTGTATCGGCTCAGACTTGGAACAGTGAACTGAAGATGATAGTAGTTTCAGAAATGTAAAAAAAAAATTTTTTATGACTGCGATATTTGATAAATATTAGATCAATAAGAAAAATATTCTATTTGTAAATAATGGATTTTATTGTATTTAATTCATAAATTATTTTTTTAAATACTGCAACTTCGCAACACTCTGATAAGTGGCGGAAGATTGTGTATAATTTTCATCTGCAAAGTGATAAAGTGAATAATTAACAGTTGTTCAACGGCCTTTCCTTTCAATATGTACTTAGCTTCTGGTAAATAAAAATTTTTAACAAAGAATGTTTCAATATCTGTCATTTTGACATTTATTGCTTCATAATCTACAAGTTGATTTATCAACAAAAAATTTTAAGACATGCAATTGATCAGATGTAAAATATTCTGCGCTTTTAAGTAGTTTATCAAATAAATTATTGCATTTAGGTTATCACTGATTTTAAATAAATGAACTATGATTCGCATGTTCTTTAATTTTGTAAACCAATATCCAAAATTTTGATAGATTTTGAAATGTTTATGGCTGTGCAGCCTATTTTTTTCCTCTGTATTATATATCACTGCAGTTACATTATATTTTTATTCTTGACTAGCAGACCACCCCGGCTTTGCACGAGTATTTAACCAAAATTTCAAAATCAAACATAATATAATGTAGCCTATGTCACCCGGGGATAGTATAGCTTTCCAACAGTGAAAGAGTTTTTCAAATCGGTTCAGTAGTTTCGGAGCCTAATATTCAATGCAAACAAACAAACAATCATATTTGTCCTCTTTATAATATTAGTATAGATGAGTTAAAAGTTTGGAACCATTTTGCTTGTGGTCTGGCAATCGCTGATAATATTAACACAAAATTGAAACTCATATCTTTAAACAATTAAAGTGCTCAAATGTTTCCAATATTAAAATAAATTGCCAATGTAATTAATTAGATTTATTCTAGATTGATAATATAGTCTATAAAAAATTTAATAAAAACTTTACTTAATTTCTAGATTCACAGAACTTACCTGAACCATTATCTCTATATTTATCTTGTAAAATCCGAGTCCAAAAATCTGAGCCCATCAATGAGCTTTTAGTGAAAACAAAAAATAGCGGCTAACAAAAAATGAAACTCTCTTAAGCATGCAGACAAAGAGCTAAATATAAGTCACTGACACATGTGACTCAAGATGTAAACACTTAAGTAAGGTCAGTAAAGTTGATTTAACACGCAAAGCAAAAAGTCACCCCTAAAATAGTCCAACAATGGTAGTGGAAATTTTTTCCACACCCTATGTAGCACGCGGAGGGCTCGATTCAACTAACCAAGTAAAAAGTCACCCTACATTCACTCTTCAGTCTGCATTCATGTATATATATATATATATATATATAGATATAGACAACATAAATTCACTGCTCTTTTTTCATTATTTTTTTATCCCGCGCAATAGCTAGAATTATAGTTAACGACCTAGATTGTCGGCCAATTGTCTTTTTATAGCATTTAGTATCGGGGTATAAAAAGCTCGAGAAATCCAAGGAAGGGAAGATTTTAGTCATGGTCATGATCTTGATCTTGGAGGAGTTCGTCGATTTGAATTTGAACTTAGACCAAAAATCTCACTGGTATTTCGGCCCCACTTGGACTAGACTTCTTTGGACGGATACTGGATGTTGATGGGATATCCTAACAAGTAGCTAGTAAGAACTTCCTATGCTACCCCGTGCTCTAAAGCTGTAGAAGAGAACGAGGAATCTCTTGCTCTTGATGCTGACTACTCTACTCAGCGACCAAGAAAAACGCGACACGCTTTTTCGGTCAATGCGGGGAGAGTACAAGAAGTTCAAGGCCGTAGGTTATGGTTATATAGATGTTCTTGTTTAGCATCTGATACTCCTGACACACTAAGGTGAAAGTCTTGTTTTATTGTTTCTGATGTTATTCGTTGGTAATTTTTCGAGACTTTTTTTTATTTTTTTTTTGGTAAACTCTTCTGATAATTTTATGATTCGTAGAATTGTCTAACATTTTTTAGTAGTCTATTAATGTATTTTAAAGTTATTTTATGTTGCTTTTAAAACTTTTCATTTCATGATCTTAATTATTTTACTTTTTTAATGTTTTAAGTATATCAATTTCCAAAGGAAAATTTTATCGAACGAATTTGTTTTTGCAATAAATTACTTGTTAGTGCCTATAAAAAAAAGTCATTATTACTTTATATTGTCATTCAATGAAAAAAAAAAAAAATTATTTTATCTGAAACCGCTGGTATATTTGATACAAATTATTATTTAAATTACTCATAGTCTAAGCGGTTTGTTGGTTATTATTATAACGAAAATGATATCAAAATATTTAGAAGTACTTTTTTTCTAGATTTATTTTCAGACTAATCAGTAAGGGGAAGGTGGCCTAAAGCGGGTATGTTAACGTTAAGAGCCGAGAAAATTTAGTATTTGTATGATAACAATAATGATTTTTTTTTTGATAGAGAATTTATCGAACTTTAAAATCAATAAGCAATATTGTATAAATTTGTATTAATTTATGATTTATTATTCAAATTAAAAAACACTCCCAGAAACAGCTTTGCCTCAGAGGGGGGCCTAAAGCGGGTAATTCGTTCGGGCAAAGCGGGTTAGTACCA